GGTCCAACATCTAAGTCTTTGATCAATTTTGAATTTGTTTTGTGTATGGTGTAAGAAGCTGGTCTAGTTTCATTGTCTGCATGCATCTGTTCAATTTTCTCAACACCGTTTATTGAATAAACCATCTCTATCCCATTGTACGTGCTTGCTTCCTCTGTCGAATATTAACTGAATATAGGTGTGGTTTTATGTCTGGGCTCTCTACTCTGTTCTATTCATCTATGAATCTGTTTTTATGAGTGTTTTGATTACTATGGCCTCGTAGTATAGTTTGATATTAGATAACATGATTCCTCCAACTTTGTTCTTATTGTTCACGATCTGTGTTCCTATGTGGGGCTGTATGTGGTCCCATATAAATTTTTGAAATATTTGTTCTACTTCTGTGAAATACGTCATTGGAATCTTGATAGGAATTGTATTGAATCTACAGATTGCTTTGGACAGTATGGACATTTTAATGATGTTAACTCTTCCTATCCATGAACACGGTATGTACTTCCACTTATTTGTATCTTCTTCAGTTTCTTCAGTGCCTTATAATTTTCCATGTATAGGTCTTTTACATCCTTGATTAGATTTATTATTAGGCATTTTATTATTTTATAGTCTATTTTATATTATTACTAATATAGTATATTAGTAATAATATATTTTTATTTTATTTATTTTATAAATTATTTTTATTTTATTTTATTTTATAAAAATAATATATTTATATTTTTATTTTACTTTATATTATTACTATTACTATTACTATTATTTTATTGTATAATAGTAAGCAACCACCTCAGCCTAAACTGGGCAAAGTTATGAAAGTGGTAACATTTAAACAGAATCTCCATACATGGGGAAGTCAGGGGGTACTAGAACACATGCAGAACATAGGGAAAAAATTGCTTGTTCAAGAGCACTGAGGTTCACTAGTTGGTAAAATCAAATGTGAATGAGTGTTAATAAGGCTGAGAAATTCTAGAGGAGCATTTCTTGGCTTCAACATAGCTCTAGACTATGTTATCTAGACCTTCATGTCTAGAGTGATATATTTGTATTATTAAAAATAGAGTTTTATCAGATAAGCATTGAAAACTAGGTTGCATTAACACTTTAAGTTTCTCTGGGCTTCTTGAAGCCTGTAAAATATGCTAATATGCATTGTATGATATGTGGAAGAGTGAACAATGAAAGATATATACAGAGGAAATTTAATTACCAATAATCCCACATTAAGTGAGAGCCACTGTTAGTGTTTTGGAACATTTCTAGATTTTTCCACATATAAGTTTCCTCGTCTCCTCTGAATCAGGGCCCAGCTGCTTCCTTTCTTAATGTGCTTAAATGTTCTTACTGAGTTTCTATTATGTGCTAAATAGAGTGCAGAATGCTGGTGATATAAAGATGAATCATATACACTCTCCCCTTTAAGAAGCTCCCTGTTAACATTAATTAGCATAAGACTCTTGTTATATAAAAATGTGATATTTCTGTTTACACTGTTCAGTAACATATTTTACTCATTTACTAACAATGGTTATAGCTGTTCATACTATTTACTAGTTTTCTTGCATTAAAAATACAAGTATCTTTCTTTGTAAATGTAGGTCTATTATGTTATGATTAAAAAGGGTGCATCATATTCTGTTATATGCCTGTACCACCATTTATATGACATTTCTATCAGGCTGTTATCAATTTTTTAAATTAAAGCAGTATTATTAGCATTCTCATTGAGGTTTGTAGTTTTCATAGCAACATGAACAAAATAGCATTTATGATGATAAAGTTTATGGCAGGATAACAGGAGTCTTGGAAGAATTAGAGTGGTGACAGAAAGACCAGTTAGGGCACTGTCAATAGAAGAGAAAATGATGATCTATACTAAGAAATCAGTATAGTCATGAAGAGAAATAGGCAGACATAAGACATTTTTCACTGAGAAACCAAAGCAGCAGTTAGGAAGTAGTAAGCAGAAAGAAGTGATAAAAGAAACAAAAAAAATTACAGTTTTTAATTACCAGATGAAGCATGTTAATAATTAACAAGTCAAGAAATAGATGATTTTTAAGTGTGGGGATTTGAAAGACTTTTGGAATTTAGAAATAGGGTGCAATTGTAAACCGAAAGATCCTTGGGCTAAAGTTGGCCTTCATATTATCTACACATAAAACAGATACATGTGTGAGAACAAACTAGCACTCATAACAGAAAAATATATAATAAAAAAGAGGATTGAGTATAAAATTCTAGAGAGTGGAAAATTTAATGTGGAGCAGGGGGGTGGGGGAGAGAGAGGGAGAGAAGCCTATAAGAACTTTGAGAAGTTACAAACTTTCTTGGTCAAGAATGTTACAAAGAAAGAATTACCAGTAACTCCAATTTCATTATTTAAAAAGCCCCTAGGAAGAGATGAAAAGTAAACAATATTTTAATTATGTTTTTCTGTTTTGCAAAAACTGGGCTAATTTATGTAAAATTTATTTTCAACTTACATAGATTAAAATTTAGGTTTACCTGTCTATAATTTTGACTGCATAGGAAGGAAAGTTTATCTAAATAAATGAATAACAAACGAATTTACAAATGGAGTTTTTGAACTATTTAACATGATAAACATAAAGCATAGCTAGTCAAGGGTCTATTTTAGAATGGCCTAATATAATAAAATCTTTGAATATTCATCTTATTAAGTCATGAATTAAATACTTTAACACCACTTTTATCTTTAAGTTTTGACTGTTTGTTCTTATAATCAAACATTAATAACCTTGGAGCTCTTAAAATGCAAATTCTCAGTTTCAAAATGTAGAAATTGGTACTCAAAGTGTGATTAAGTTTGGCCAAGGTCACCCGGCTTGTTATTGGAAGCAGTGAGTACAGAAGATTTCAAATAAAAATACTCCACATAATAATCTCATAATTTATAATTTCTTTTCATTTATTTCACATAGATTTACCAAAATTTATATATGTATTTGGATTACTATATCTTAAAAACAGTTTGGGTTTATATTTGGGAAATATTCTAATGTAGATACATGTAGATATATAAGATAGAAATAGGTATATGACATAAAATAGACAAATAAGGTAATCTGCAAAATGTGTCAATTATACCTTACACCCTCACACTTCTACCTTGACTCTGTTTTATTGTCCCTGGGCTAGAGATGAAGAGATGGGCAAGGAAAAGTAGTCCAGTTTGCCCATAGGAGCAGAGCAGTTGTGAACAGGAGTCTGGTGCTAACTCCAGCTATCTGTTTCAGACACCATAGTTTACTGGAACCTGCTCCAGGTATCATGTCTCTACATGATACAGATCGGCCTGTATCATGTTACAGATTATCCACCTGTTACAGATCGGCCTCAGTTTAAATTTTATTCAAACCAAAGTAGTTTTCTTCTCTTATTCTCAGGATTTTCATTTGTTAAATTTTAATATTAAATATTTGATCCTTAGGATTATTCATGGAATTAAATGAAAATGTAAAATCCCTAACTTTGTCCAGCATATAGTAGGAACATAATTAATGTTAAGTGCTGAGGTTATTGCTCTTATTCTTTGTGATTTCTCATGCAAGGTAAGTAAATATTGCAGCTTCTTTTTGATCCTATTGTTAGAGGAGGCTGCTTAGAATTGCATCATTCCCTTGTGGTTTACTTGTAAAGGAATAAATTAATGAAACCATTTAACTGTTTGTATTTACAAGAAGACGTCATTAAATGAATTACTTGATCATGCAGGTTTTTTAAATGCAGCCACATTTAAATATATGCTTTGTTAATGGCAAGTCTTAGTGTGTGTGTATATGTATGTATATATATATATACATATATATACATACAACACACATATATATGTATATTTATAGAAAGTGGTACCAATGTTTTAATGTTCCATATTTTCTCATTTCCAAGATACCATGCATTATTTATCTACTTTTTTATCACTTCACTACTTATTTAAGATAAGAAGTAAATGAAGGAATTAAATGAAAAAATATACAGGAAGATACATAGGAAGAAAATTAATTCTCATATCATTTTGGACTTGAATTTATTCTTTCTATACTCATCGACAGATAATTTAAAAATTATGTTTGCTCTTGTTCTTGGACACTGGAATGCAGCGATGCTGTCACCCATGTGCAGTCCTCTCCAAAGGGAGCACATTGTGTTTGTAGGAAAGCTTATTCATCTATTTCTGTGTATTCTTACTCTGGCATTTAATTTAGCCCATGCTTTTTATTGATGTTCTATTGCATAAATACATTTGAATTCATATATGCATTGTATTAAAAATAAAAGTCTTCCAATGAAACAGATGATTTTATTTGTAAGAAAATTTGTTAGGTAGCAATTGCCTCTTGGAAGTTTATATGTTGTCCTAAATCATAACGCACATATATATTCTAGCACAGTAAAGTGAGTTTCAGTAATATCAACCTAATGTTCTCATAAATATTTTCAACAAATCAGAAAATAACTTAACTCGAAAAATTACAATTTGTCCTTCTTTTTCCCTTTCCTACTACTTGTGTTTCCCATGTCTGCTAAATCTACATGGTCACTTACCTTTTCTTATAGTATGTTTAGGTAAGGGATAGCAGCATAATAAAGCAGAAGATTGAAAGGCTGATCCCACCCCCAGCAAGTGAGATCACTTTTCTGTAAATTGCAGATGTTAAAGACCCAGTTAATGGCTGATAATAACAAGTCATTGAGTAGATTGTTCATAAGTTGGCCATGTACAGTCTAATTTAATGGGTTTTTATTTTGCTAAAGTTTGAAGACCTCATTCAAGCGAGTTCTATAAAAACAATTCAGAATTATTTCAAGGAGGGTATTTGCCACTGATTCCCAAGGTCTTCTCTATAATTTTTGCCATTTGAATTGTCACACATCTTCAACCAGCAGAAATTGTTTCCTTATGATTTTCTGTGTTTGAATATGCTTTACCAGTTTATACTAACTTTGAAAAATTTTCTTTTTCCCATTTCAAGTTCCACCCAATCTGACTGTTCCACAGGAAAAATCACCTCTGGTCACCAGAGAAGGAGACACAATAGAACTGCAGTGTCAAGTAACTGGAAAACCTAAACCCATCATCCTTTGGTCTAGAGCAGATAAAGAAGTCGCAATGCCAGATGGGTCAATGCAAATGGAGAGCTATGACGGAACACTGAGGATTGTGAATGTGTCTAGGGAAATGTCAGGAATGTACCGATGTCAGACCAGCCAGTACAATGGTTTTAATGTGAAACCGAGAGAGGCCTTGGTGCAGCTCATCGTGCAGTGTAAGTAAATACTTTTCTCTGTGTTATAGGTGGGAGGGTGAGGGGAGCAATGATACAGAATGTTACTAGTAAAATGAGGTGATTTTGGAGTTGGGTTAGGATAAAATATTTGTATATTACTGCTTCCCAATTTAAACTATAATTTCTCCTACATCTGCTTATGACCTGAGCTAATATACACTAATAGATGAGAATTGTATTTGTGTGTGTGTGATTATTATAATGGTGTTATTCAGTAAGTGAATGCCGAAAAACCAACAAATCTAACAGTTAGAAGCTGGCCATGCATAAGAAAGTAAAGTGAAAACTGGAAGTAACTGCTGATTCAAATTATACTATGCCCTTTTTTCACAGTTCATGTTTCTACTTCAGCATCGTTGCCCTTTGCCCAACTATCCACCTATTTCAAGGAATCCTTTTGTTTCAGTTGTGGAGACTTAATCATTGAAATGCTAATTTTGCAGATACAAAGTTTGCAAAATTATCTAGTAGATTGCATAATTATCTAGTAATATTGAGATAATTCAGGCCGATATTTGGTGCTAAACTTTTGCTTGGCTTTCCTAACAGGTATTGTATAACTGTGAGATTTGAATAATAAGATTTTATACTATTCTTATTGAAATTGCTGTTACAGTTCTAACAAAAATTTATTTTAATATTAGAAGTAAGTAAATTCATAAATTTTAAAAGTTTAATGATGTCTAGTGGTGCTGGATTTTTCAAGGAGGCCTCAATAATTTTTATGGCAGGTGGCATGGCAGGTTGCTGAAAGAGGAAAAGCAAACTGAACACAGTCTGTTCCAGCTTCAATAGGGCTGCTATCATGTTTAACTGATGCCCTGTTTCTTAAATACACAGTGGCAAAGTCCTCAAGAAAATGATAAATTCGATGAAACTATAAACTTTAATACACAGCAATGTTGTTTTCTTTCTGTGGTTCCTTGGTCACTCAGAAAACGGAATTCAAGATTTAGTCCAAGCATGTCTGTTCTTACATTAGACTTAAGGACATTGGCAGATTGAGTTAACTGACTTTAAAGTTGAAAGAATAATTGAGAAATAGAAGAATTATATTTGGAACTAATGTCAGTAAATTCATTTATGTATGAGGTGAGGAGCAAGGTTCTGACAGCTGCTTAACATTCCCTGTCCCTGTTGTATAGAAACTCCTACAAATATGCAAAGTATTATTTGCCAGGTACTTTGGCTGATTTCCAATTAATTACTACTTTTTTTCTCCAAGTAATGTAGCTTTTAGATGGCAGGTTTCATTCAACACTTCAGTATTGCTTTTTCCCTCCCCGGCTGGCATTTATACTCAGGACAGTAAGTGCATGGTTGAGAGGTTCATGTGAGAAAACATGTGTCAGAAAGAAAAAGAATTATAAAAGAGATATATCTCCTCAATTCTCCCAGAATAATTCATATCCTCAAGTGACCACAGAAGAAGTTGACAGAGTTTGGAAGACTTCATTCTCGGTAATCACAGGACTCTGTGCTTCCTCCAGAGTTTTGCACAAAGTTCCAGCATTCCTAAATCTATCAGGGCAATTTATTTCACTCTGCTCACACCTCACCAGGAAAGCACTGACAGAGAGAAAAGCTGGAGAACCCAGTGGCTCTAGGGAATTTAGAAGGTTCAAAAACCAAGATCTCTATCTTCATAGAGTATACTAATGTCCGGAATTCTATTGGTGAGTCAAATTTCCTCTGCTTTTTCTTCTTAGTAAGGCCCATAGAAAATGTTAAGTTCAGCTCAAGATTTTAACATTCAATAGTGGACGAAGATAAATGCTGGCACAGTTGTCTCTAGTGTGACAGGGAGGTAATTGACTGAAAGGCATCAACAGACATGGGCAAAGTCTAGTTCATTTGATGTAGGTGAAAAGATCACGTCCTAATTTGCCTTTGCAGAGCAGGCAGTGTAGTCTGACAACACTTGCTCTCAGACACAAGCTTTCTTGGCCTGCCCAGGAGGGCACTGGTTGCCAACGGTCTTGCTAGTTCTAAGTGAGGCTGCATTGTGTCTTTCAAGAACCTCCCTTTCATGTGTTCCCAAATATTTGGAAGAATGTGCTTAAGTATCTGAGCATTTGCCAGGCACAAATAACTGCTAACAAGTCCAGAATATTTCTGAGTGAATAAAATGTTCATTTTTCAGACACATAATCCCTGCTAGCTGTCTAGCCAGGATGCCTACCAAGACCCAATTATTTCTGCAAAAATAATAATACAGGAATTTCAAACTGTTTTCTAAATGATAGTCCAACTTTTGGAGTTTTATTTTTAAATACAAAAACAATTGATATTTGTTTTTAACTTGGCTAGCCATGCTACATGTAAGGATGACTCATGGAATGTGACATTTTCATACACATATGCACACATACATGTATATGTATGGATGCCATTCTCAGCAATTAGTTACATCACTGCAGCTAATAATCTATGTTTTATATACTTTGTATACCAATATGCAAAGTATTATTTGCCAACATGAAATATTTTACATTATAGCTATTGAGCAAATGTGTTGAGTAATTTAAATTATGATAAAAATGTTATAAGAATATGTACATACTACATACCTCTTGATTCTTGCATGACTAATCTTTGTTATTTAGAATTTAGAAGGATCTGAGGAGTTACTGTATATAGATTGATACCTGAAAATGTCTAAATGAAGGAAGATGTCAAATTATTATAGTTCTTACAGAGCACCTTTTTCAGCACTTGAACTTTTTTAAAGTATATTTTACTGATTATGCTATTATAGTTATCCCAATTGTTTTCTCCCCTTTATTCCCCTCCACCCCATACTCTTCCTCCCACCAACATCACCCCTGGCTTTAGTTCATATCCATGGGTTGTACATATCAGTTCTTTGGCTTCTGCATTTCCTATACTATTCTTAACCTCACCCTGTGTATTTTGTACCTACCACTAATGCTTCTTATTCCCTGTACACTTTTCCCCATTCTCCTCCCTTCCCCTCCCCACTGATAACCCTCCATGTGATCTCCATTTCTTTGATTCTCTTCCTGTTCTAGTTGTTTGTTTGCTTTTGTTTTTGTTTTAGGTTCAGTTGTTGATAGTTGTGAGTCTGTCATCATTTTAGTATTCATATTTTTGATCATCTTCTTTTTCTTAGATAAGTCCCTTTAACATTTCATATAATAAGGGCTTAGTGATGATAAACTCCTTTAACTGGACCTTATCTGGGAAGCACTTTATCTGTCCTTCCATTCTAAATTACAGCTTTGCTGAATAGAGCAATCTCGGATGTAGGTCATTGCCTTTCATGACTTTGAATAATTCTTTCCAGCCTCTTCTGGCCTGCAAGGTTTCTTTTGAGAAATCAGCTGATAGCCTTATGGAAACTCCTTTGTAGGTAACTGCCTTATTTTCTCTTGCTGATTTTAAGATTCTCTCCTTCTCTTTAATCTTTGGTAATGTAATTATGATGTGCCTTGGTGTGTGCTTCCTTGGGTCCAACTTCTTTGGGACTCTCTAAGCTTCCTGGACTTCCTAGAAGTCTATTTCCTTTGCCAGATTAGGGAAGTTTTCCCTCATTATTTGTTCAAATAAATTTTTGATTTCTTGCTCTTCTCCTTCTGGCACCCCTATGTTTGGATAGTGGAACATTTAAAGTTGTCCAGGTGGCCTCTCTACTTTTTTGAATCCTTGTTTCTTCATTCTGTTCTGGTTGAATGTTTACGTATTCCTTCTGCTGCAATGTTTGATTTGAGTCCCTGTTTCCTTCTCTTCACTTTTGCTTCCCTGTATGTTTTCCTTATTTCACTTTTCATAGCCTTCCTTATCCCTTTATTTTGTGACCTTACTCAGCCATTTCTGTGAGCATCCTTATTACCAATGTTTTAAACTCTGCATCTGATAAGTTGGCTATTTCTTTATTGCTTAGTTCTATTTTTGGAGCTTTGATCTATTTTTTCATATGGGCCATGTTTTTTTGTTCCGGTGTACCTGCTATTTTGTAAGGGGCAGAGACTTAGGTATTTGCTGGCTTGGGGCAACCCACATTGTTGCGTTGTGGTGCTGTGTGTGGAAGAAGGGTCAAAGAGGGAACAATGCGCCTTTCTTGCTCTAGGCTGGCTTTCAGCCACTTCCCCAGCTACCCACAAGGAAATTGGGCCCTTCTGGTGCCAGTTCCCAGGTGGGTGTGTTTGTGTACATTCTAGGACCCTGTGGGTCTCTCCAATGAGCTCTTCTGTGAGGCTGAGAGTTTCTGCCATTCTGGTAAGACCCACAGATTTTTTTCAGCTCAAGGTTTTGAGGCTTTATTTCTCCATGCTGGAATCCTGAGTTGCACTGTCTGTCTTGCTCCTCAGTTGTCCCTCCCCATTATCTGCACACAAAGTGGGACCATCCACTCTACCAGCTGCCACCACACCCACCTGGTTCTCAAGCCAATGCCTTGCCACATGTCCTTTCCACCCCTCCCAGAGGTCTGGATAAATGTCTTCTTTAACTCCTTGGTTGTTAGACTTCCATACAGTTCAATTTTCTGGCAGTTCTGGTTATTTTTTTTAAACTTGTTGTTGTCCCCTTTTGTTGTGTGAGTAGGCAAAGTATATCTACCTACACCTCCATCTTGGCTGGAAGTTTTATATTTATATATAATTGTATCTCTTTTGAAATATAAACATAGAAAAAGAAATGGTCATGATAAATAAGAAAAAATTGGTATCTCCAAGGTACATTATTTTCCTATTTTGTTTCATTTGTATCCAATTAAACAATAATCAACCAAAGTGATTAAAGGAGCATAGATATAATTGTATGTAGGACTTTGATAAGTTTACATTGTAAGGGCCTAAATACAAGGTCTGCTCATCAATACTCCACCCACTATTAATATAACAAGAATGGTTTGCAGGACATCATGTAACCTGGCAGCCAAGGAGAGTGGACTGGAATGCCCATATGTAAACAATGATGACTTCACTGTATTAGCCAGTGGGGCTTGTAGATGCTGT